TGGGGGGGATAATATAAGATGTATGCTGGGAAATGGGAGTTGACCAAATACTTAACGTTAAATGACTTGGAACCCATTCCCTTAATTAATTTATTTTAAGTATTTAAATGGTTCCTCCCTTCCTCTTGGAAGAAAAGGAGAAAAAGTCATGTTTTCTTACAAAATTCATGATTCTGCAGCTAGATTCTTATATCAGTTGTGTGAGATAAAAATGAAAAAATTTCTTATCTTTACAAAGTTTCATGTAATATTGCATAGATTAAATTAGCAGTGTCACATTCATTCATTCATTTATTCATTCATTCATTCATTTTTTCTTTCAGTGCAAATCTACACTACCTTATATTTTCTTTACTTAAAATTTTTTTATGTTTATGTGACTATCTATATTTCTATCAATATTCTTATTTTAGATATCTTTAATATATATATGTTGAATGCTAATGAAAGCCAGTACATGAATAGTATCTAGAGAATATATATGCTTTATTGTAAAAACATGTACCATGGCCTGACTGCACTGCACCAAAAAGTCTAATTTTCAGCTCACAAATATCTGCAATGTATAATTTAAAATTAAATACGCAGCACCGAACAATTATAAACTGCAACCTCTTTTCAAAGATTATGTTTGAAAAGATGTTGCAATTTTTAGTTTTAATTTTGATTTTGCAGAAACGTAATATTCTAAATCTAAGTGTTCAGCTAATTGATACAAAGAATACAGATACATATATATTACATATTCTGGGTTAAGTAGTTTAAGTTCAGTTTTGCACATGCAAGGAAATATGGATTTGGGTTTTATCCTTTTTTAGCAAACCGTGCATTAGGAAATGTTCACTCCTGAATATTAAGCAGATTCATTCCAAGTACGCTCTTTCAAGAATGTAGGTTGATCGGACCTCATTGTGTCCGCCATGTTTTTTGAGGGAATTGAATTCGGTAGCGCGGCATTGTTAAATGTGATGCGCGCGAGGGAATTGTCAAGAATCGACACAGGTCACGCAGTCAATCTTGGTTCTTTGCGCGCGCTGCAAGGGTTACTCTCGTTATCATGCAATCTAGCCCGGCGCCTATATTTAACGCAATATATATGCATTCCACTCTTGTCTGTTTTTTGCATGTCTAACACCTCCCCCCCCCCCTTCAACTGGATTTTGATACACTTATGAGTGTAATGTTCATAAACGAGGACTGACATGAACATTTTGTTAAATAATTCCTCTCGCTCCCTTCCTATATGTAAAGTGACAGTGTAATATATTTCTTGTCTTGGTTAAAACAGTTTGTGGAGGGTTCATTACAAGACATTTTCTCCGATGTTGACTTATAAGAAGCTGTTTCTTACTCCGAGCTAAATTGTATGTTAATGTTAGAGTTGGACCCACCCAGGCAGCAGGGAAGATAGGTTTAAAGATACTGAGATCTGAGATATGGGAACAAGAAACTACAGTCTCAATCTCGTCTGGTGATCAGATGAGATTAGTTAGGCTTCGGATCCTAGATCTCTTGAAGTAGGATAACGTGGAGAGATATATCTCAAGGACTAGACGATGCAGTTCTTAAACTTTGCAACAAGTTTCTCCAAAACCGGATCAATATGAAGATTGGTTCGGAGAAGGGTGTAGAGGAAGTCATTCGATCATCCAGTTTTTGTCCCCTGACAATTGGGAAAGTGCGAAACCTTGCTCCATGTCTCTCCTGAACCTATAATCAGGTTGAGATTAGAAGAGTTTAGCTCAGGCATGGGTTGGAGAGAAAGGTTTTTACAGCTCCGATACTTGCAGTGGAGCACCGCTAATAAATCACGACTTTTCTTCCGTCGCATTAAACGGTAAGCTCATGCTCCATCCCCACCTCGTGTGTCTTAAATCAGCATTTTTATTTTGTTCTAGTTTTCCATCGAGGATGTTTTTGCTCTTTTTGTTTATTTTCTTCCCACCTTTTTCAAAACAAACCTTATTGATTAATTTCTTTGAAGAGTAAAGACCCCTTAATAATCCGGACCTGAACATGTTAGTCTTAAACTTTTCATTTTTCTTCTATTGTACTTTAATCCTTTTTAACCTTCATCCATTCAACCCCCCCCCCCCCCCCCTGTTCGCACCTATTTCCCCTTCTTTCCCCCTGACACCCTGAAATAGTTGAAGTTTCCCTTTACTCCGATCTATTGTTTAAACCCAAGTTCCTAGAAAGCTCAGCTCCGGGTATTGATCACAACAGAGGCGGAAGAGAGAAGTCTAACACCTGATACCAGGGGGGGGGGAGGGGTGATTTAACTCGTCAAACCCATAATAGATATTCTATCCTAACATGTTTTCATCTCAGCCCAGTTTTTACCAAGGCCTATTCCTTTTAAATTCTCTAAACAAAGATAAAATCTCCGGATTAGAGATAACGTCAACTCAAGGCACTGACACAAAAAATATGGGAGGAAAAATCAAATATTTTTCTTCAACTTCTTCCTTGTAATTTTATAAGAGGAAAATTAGTTTCAAGGAAAAAATCAAATATAAAAATCAAATTTAAATTTCAACTATAAAGAACAAATATAAAAATCAAATATAAACTAGCGTTTTGCAAAACGATTAAATTAAAAATCCAAAGGAATAAGGTCTATGCCAAAAAAAAAAAATATTCTCTATATTTTTGCAACCTGATTGTGTAGATATTGGATATATCAAACTTAAATTGTTTTATCTAACAAAATTTAAAATTTGAAATATCTAAAGTCTACAACATTGGGATGCAAAAATATAGGGATTAGGAGATTTGAGTTTCCAGCTCAATTCCATTGTATTTGTTGACTAAAGTCTAAGCAAAATTTCTTATCGCAATATTTCATTGCAAATAACTTTAAAACAAAATTGTTTTTGTTCTTTGGTTGGGAAGAAACAGTAATGCAAAGGTAGTTGATATTTTAAATTAAGATTTAGATATTTTTATTGTAAAGAAACAGTTTACGGTTAAGATTAAAGTGTAGGATCTGTTCTTATCAGATTTTTTAAAATATCAATATTCAAAATAATAACCTTAAATGGTTCATTTTCTTTTTCACAAAAATACTTTAGTATATGTTAATTCCTTCAGAGTGTACTAATCCGTATCATCTGTAGTCCGACAGAAAAAATAATTTCTTCTGGATATCTCCAAAGGTTAAAATGTAAGATCGTGAAATTACGAGCCAGTTTTTTTTTGGCACAGATTAAGCTCTTAATCGCGTTAAACTATAACCTTCCTGATTTGAGGCGCCTGCAGATTAGCGCTATTTTATAAGTTCTGGTATCAGGTCTACCTGTACAGGGTTAAGCTGCGCGGTAAAAGAATTGGTCCTGTAATACTTCTTGGAAATTTATTCTATTCTTACTCAAAATGCAGGCTTCACTCATCCTTCCTTCAAATCCCTCTATTTACTTTTAAAAAACTCCGTTTTATTTGAATAATTTTGAGGACACGGGATACAAAGGATAAAAGAACACATTAGCATTTTAATGGATGGTATTCAGAAACAGTTTTGTTCAATTTGATACCAGAAACCCGAGACTAAGTTTAAAAGGGGAATTTTAATAGGTTCCGTGTCATTTTAAGCAATCCTAAACCTTGATTCAAACACTTTGAATTTAGCAATGGGGGTTAAGGATATTTTTGTCCGTTTATACTTTTATGAGCATTGCAAATGAGAAGTGCACTTAAATGCACTTCTCTTTAAAAATTACGGAAACATAAGCAAATACCCGTATTTGCCGCATTTTTGATGATTTTAGTTTTCTTTTCATGGCCACCATTCTTTTTATATATACATGGTAAAAATCGGTCCAATTTTATGATCTGCTGGTCATTCACCTGCAATTAACGATTTTATTAAAATTATTAAATTATTGAATTCCCGGAACTTCAGATGAATTTTAATCAATTTAATCACACTGTATACAAAGCTTGAAAGCAGGAATGAAAACTCATTTTTATTGAATAGATTATCGGATAGATAGATAGTTTATCCTATAGGTTATCTACATATATTCTATTCTATTAATACCAAAACTGTGGGTTGGCATCCTTGTATCGTGACACTAGGGCTTTTATCTTCATTTTCAACTCTATATCTGATACATTACACAAGGGACTCGATCTAGATTATATAGGAGGGGGGGGGGGGGTATGATAGTGTTATTATTCTGTAAATACATGCAATGAAAAGGTGTATAGTATAGAACATACCAATTATACCTAAATATCAGGTGTATAGCAGAATGTATCAAATCCTTTAAAGGAAATATTTAAAATAAATATTCTTGAAAAATACTAGAAGGTCAAGTAAGTCATCATATTTCTGAGAATTATTCTTAAAAATTCATCAATATATATGAATTTTTAGAATAAATTTTGTTGTACAATTTACGCACTAGTAACACTCCTTTTCCCCATATCGTGTAGTACACCCAAGAAAAATATTAGAAGGATATCCTTTATGTAAATTATATTTGCATGAGACATGATAAATGTAGGTTAGAACTTGTGTGGTTCCTGAATCAGTGTTAAGCACAGCTTGTGTTTCTGTGTTCAAAATCCCAAGTATCTTGTGCAGAACTCGTGCTTAAAATTCCAAATATCTTGTGAAACACGTGTTTTAAATCCCAAGTATCATTTAGAACTCTTGTTTAAAATCCCAAGTATCTTGTAGAACTCGTGTTTAAATCCCAAGTATCATGTGGAACTCGTGTTTAAAATTCCAAGTATCTTGTGGGACTCATCATTTTTAAAATCCAAAGTAGCTTGCGGAACTGTGTTTAAGATCCCAAATATAGTGTGAAACTCGTGTTTAAAATTCCAAATATCTTTTGGAACTGGTGTTTAAATCCCAAATATCTTGTTAAACTCGTGTTTAAAATCCCAAATATTTTGTAGAACTCATGTTTAAAATACCAAGTATCTAATGGAACTCGTGTTTAAAATCCCAAATATCTCGTGGAACTCGTGTTTAAAACCCCAAATATCTTGTGGAACGCGTGTTTAAATCCCAAGTATCATGTGGAACGTTAAAATCCCAAATATCTTGTGGAACTTGTGTTAAAAATCCCAAATATATCGTGGAACTCGTGTTTAAAACCCCAAATATCTTGTGGAACGCGTGTTTAAATCCCAAGTATCATGTGGAACGCGTGTTTAAAATCCCAAATATCTTGTGGAACTTGTGTTAAAAATCCCAAATATATTGAGGAATGCGTGTTTAAAATCCCAAGTATCTTGTGGAGTTCATGTTTAAGCTGGAATAGCCTTTACATTCCAAGAATTGATGCAGAAGTCCCGTAAAGACATCAAGGTACCCTGATGTACTGTGACGATTCGTAAATTTGGTTTGTTTAATTTAAGGTTCAGCATGATGCACATTTCTGCACAATCCTTGCATGATTTAGTCGCACATGCAAATAGAGTTCCATATTTAATAGTTTAATCCTGCATTGGCAGAATTTAACCTGTGAAGTTAAAGCATGAAAATCCCCAACCCCCCCCCCACCCTAAATCTCAATCCGAGCTGATGTTTAAAACAATTTAAATATGCGCATATTTCATGTAAGACGGGGTATGAAAAACATGTAAGTTTACACGTGTTATTGTTGGCACTAAAATACTAAACATTTGTTAAAAACTTGACAGTATTCCTAGACTCATCTCAGAGAGAAATAAAGTGTCACTGTCCTCCAATATAAATTTAAATTTCTTAATTTTCATAAATATTTTACAGAGAAAAATTGAGAATTAGTTTTAATCTGGATTCATTCTGGATTGCTCTAGTTAAATCTGATACTGTTTGTGTGTGTGTGTGTTTAGTTAAGGGTCTGTTTGTCAAGAGGGTTGAAAAGTTGAATTTTAATCAAATTTTATTTATTGCCCGGAGAGAATAAGAAACTCAGCTTGAAATAAATATTTATCAGTAGAATCTGATCAAATTCCATCCTTATCCCCCTCTCCCCCTTCCCCTCCTTATATTATTACCCCCATTTCCCTTCCTTTCCCCTACCCTCTTTCTTACACCCCGAAGCGTCTACCAATCAATCCAGATCACACAGTGATACCTATATTTCAGTATCTGTATTGGTACACTATTTTCAAAAGTAAGCTCATGGGAAACACAATTTTTAAGGAAACAGAGTTTTTTACTCTTGAGGGGAACAAGAGTTTTTGAGGGGAAAAAGTTCTGACGAAAAACTAAGAGCTCTTTAGGAAAAAATGATCAAGCTTTTGAGTGACACGCGAGATCTTCAGGAAAAAATGAGTTTTTGAGTGACATACGAGTTCATTAGAAAAGCATAAGCTTTTTGAGGGAAATACCTGACTATTTGATGAAACAACAAATTCTAAAGAAAAGCATGATTTATGAAGGAAATTTAACTTAGATACGTATTTTTTACATTAAACTTACAACAGTAAAAATAATTCCCCTTCTCCCTTTATTCTCCCCTTCCCCCCTTTTCAGTAGTACCCCTCCCCCCCGGGTCTGATTGATATAGAGTATCCAACGTAACTCAATATTAATTTCACTTGTATTCTGCTCACTAGCGTTATCTACATAATACTTCTAATCAATGATATTCAGACACAAGGATATGTTTTTAGATTATTCTTCTATTCAATGATATTTAAACACAAGGATAGATAAGGGTTTAAGTAAACTCTGGGGTTGAATTAAAGTACTAGAGGTTTAAAATTTTTAATTCAACTCAGGGTTGAAATTCAAATCTTCACATAGTCGATTTCTGTCTTGACAACCCTTCATCCCGCCTCTTTTAGGTTCTATATCTGTCTTTTCTATCTATCTATCTATCTATCTATCTATCTGTCTATTTTTTCTGTCTTTAAGATTTAAAAAAGAAAAATAGAAACTAAATCTAACCTTTGTAATGTAATTTCAAATATCTCCAGTTTCTAACAACGTTCTACAAAATATAAGTTTTGTTTTCAACTTTGCAATATTATAAGTAGGTTTTATAACCCTTGAGATTAAGGGATAGAAATTGTTATTTTATGTTAATATTTTGCAATACTGCTTTAATGCTAAATATTTACTTGGAAGTTTTGCACAATTTGCAATTTTCTTTCGTTACTTCTTTTTCATTCTTTATACTTTTTACATCTATGTTTTTGTTAAACATTCTGTTTCCTGGTTTAATTTTTTAATTGAACTATATTTTTATATGGTTAGTTTTGTCAATGCATAAGTAACCCTTTCTTAAAATCCCCCCTGTATCCTCGAAATTTACCCCCGGGGATTTTGGCATCTTTAAGAATGGCTTCTGCTTGCCACCTAGTGGTACAAGGGAAAATATTCTTTACTTTAATTTCCCCCTCTTTGCAGATTAATATAAGACAGATTTGGTTTTTGTATAATTAAAAATAATTATCTGCATTGTACATTCAGTACTAGAAATCATCCTAATTTACTTATACTTAGGCTTTGGCACAATTCTGAATACTTTTTCTTTATATATTCTTCTTTTGATTTACTATGCTAATCCTTCGTTTTTCAACCTCAATTTACTTTTACTTAATTCTTACTAAATCTCTACTCATTCTTTATTTAATCCTTACTTGATCCTTAATCATTATTTACATTACCTTACTTGATCCTTAATCATTATTTACATTACCTTACTTGATCCTTACTCATTATTTACATTACCTTACTTGATCCTTACTCATTATTTACATTACCTTACTTTATCCTCACTCATTATTTACATTACCTTACTTGATCCTTACTCATTATTTACATTACCTTACTTGATCCTTACTCATTATTTACATTACCTTACTTTATCCTCACTCACTTTCAACTTATTCTTTACTCAAATCACACTCAATTCTTACTAAGGACTATCTATCTATCTATCTATCTATCTATCTATCTATCTATCTATCTATCTATCTATCTATATGTTAATCTATTTGGGTCCCTAATGAACCCTTATTGGAATGAATTCCCTGAGATTCCAGGTTTGAAGATCTTATCTCCGATGACATTGAGGACCTGCCTCTACAGTGTACAGTGTGGGGTTAGCCTTATTTCTAACTATCCATTTGTGCAACGTTAAACTAACTACAAACTTGTCTTCAGTCTGATTTTTGTCTCTTATTCAAAATGCATTGTTAAAGATCTTCTATACTTTAAAATTTAGAATCTTCATTTAACTAGTTAAAATAGGTTCCAAAGTTTAGGCTGACTTTAAACTAGGACGCTTAGTTTCCCGTGACATTAAAGACAAGGACGCTTAGTTTCCCGTGACGTACTGGTGTATACAAGTTTAGCATGACCGACAAATTTAGGCTTTTTTAAAACTTTCTTTAAAAAAATATTAACTTCACTATTAAATATGTTTAATAGGTTCAAACTTGGAAAATATTCTTGATTAGATGTCAAGATTGAAGATACAAAAAAGGCAGAAATACAACGCGCGTTTTAGAAATCCCAAAATTATGAAAATAGGTGTTTAGTGTTTAGAAGATTTAATGTCCAGTTCCAGGCCCGAAATATATTAGTTTATTATTATAGTTCTACGTCAGTAAAGTTACAAACTAATAATTCCAATAAAACTTATTTTTTTGCGTCTAATCTAAAAAGATTAAATTTTTTCTATTTTCTTTTTTTGTAAAAAGAGAGGGCTTTATTTTAACAATTATGAATTAGATATAGTCGTTTTTAATTTTGTAAAATGTGAAATTCTAAGTCCGTAAATCACTTTAGTAGAGAAAACCCAAATAGAAAATTATCAACTTTTAGATAGAAAAATTATAGATATAGATATCTTCATCATTTTCGCTCAGACGAATTTTTTAAGGATAACAATGTAAATGGAACATGCCACTCTGATAATGAAGGGTCACTTGAAATTTTGCCTACAGCCCCTTTATTTTCTTATTTTCTTAATAAAGATAAGAAACCTAGCTCTATGTTTTACAAAACTACTGCAGTTGAATCCTCTACTCGACAAACCAAACACTTATCAGTGTGTATCAGCGTGTATCTGGAACCTGTTTATTTTTAAGAATTATTAATTATGAAACAAAATTAAATATATTATTTACACAAGTGTTTTAAGGCAGGGAACATGTGGCAAAATGTATATTTTCTATCTGTCTGTCTGTTTGTCTGTCTGTCTGTCTTTCTGTTTTTATCTAACTGTCTGTCTATCTATCTTTTATCTATCTGTCTGTCTATTTACCTTTTATCTATCTGTCTGTCTGTTTGTCTGTCTGTCTGTCTTTCTGTTTTTATCTAACTGTCTTTCTATCTATCTTTTATCTATCTGTCTGTCTATCTATCTTTTATCTATCTGTCTGTCTATCTATCTTTTATGTATTTGTTTATCTTTTATCTAATATTTCTATAAGTCTGCAAGGGTTGTGGAAAGTATTGAGTTGAATTGGATTGGAGTAAAAGGACTTCAAAATCCAACTCAAGAGTAAATACTTAACAGGTTTTCATTTTAAACAGAATTTTTACAGGTTTTCGTTTTTTTAAACCGAGTAGAATTTTTACAGGTTTCCTTGTTTTAACACCGATTTAAAATTTTACAGGATAAAAGAATAAATTAAGGAACTTCAAAAAAAAGAAAGGATGAATTTAGAAAATTAAAGAATTGAAAGGATGGATGAAAGGACGGATGAAAGGGTACATGAAAGGATGAATGAATGAATAGATTGATCGATCTTTATATCTATTCCTCAGGATGAATTCTCTATATGATAAATGACATTCTACAGAAGAAGAAGATATATATTTTAAACCGGATCTATAGATTTGTATGAAAAGGGAGGAGGGGGATATATTTCTAAGGGATTAAAAAATATAACAAAAAGGGTGATGGTTATACGCCAAGTACTTCCTTAATTGTCTTTGTGATTTTATAGGTCAACTTTTTCAAAATTACGAAGTCAGAATTTTGAACGACATTATACGAATCATATTTATTATTTACATGATATTAATTAAGTACCTGCAAATGTAAATTTAATAAACGAATTTAATTGAAATATTAGAAAATCAAGAAAAATTTCAATTTACAATTGTACAATAGTACAATTGTACTATAGTACGAGACATCTACATCAATAATATATATTGATAAGATCGGATTCAATTGGAAAGTTTGATTAGAAGAGGTTGAAGAAAGGATTATAAATGAGATGGAGGAGGGGGGGGGGGGATAATGGACTGATGACAAAATATTTGGGTCGCAAGATTAATGGGGGGGGGGGGTATGGATAACCAGCGACCATTAAGAGGAAATTGACAATGGGCAGTGCGTGAGCTAAAAGCCAGGTTGGAAGATAGTGATATGAGGGGGATTTTATGAGTATGTAGAGGGGGAAATCCCCCTCTTCAGATAGTTTCCCCATCTAAAAGCTTTCTCAAAAAGAAGTTTTGTAAGATGCTCTTGTAGTGAGTGTTTATTTAGCGTGATATACTCAGTATACAACAAGTGTTTGGACAGGAGAAGTGTACATCAAATATTAAGTTATTTACTCCATCCCCTCTTCATTCCCCCCCCCCTTACCCTCATTTCCCCCTCCTGCTGGGGAGAATAGGTTGCTTCTCCATTTCCCAGAGGGAAATTTCTACTAATTGTTGACATTTCCTTTATTCTCATTTAGTTTACACTATTGTGTACTTACTATTGTTATATTTCAGATCCCTGGTTCCTATTACAGATCTTGTCTCCAGGTCCCACGTTCAGTACCAATCCGTAGACTCCGTGCATCAACCTAACTTCTTCACGGAGCAAGCCTCACCAATTCTTGCCACGAGAGAACGAAATAATAACAAGAAAGTGAACGATTTTACTCCGGTAGGACGACACCGTTCTCCGGGAAGGGACTTTACCAGTAAGGTTGAGTTAAACATTTCTCCGGTTGGGTGCGAAGTAAGGATGGATCCGCTGTATGAAGCGGATTCTGATACAGAGGATGATCCAACTAAACTTCTCAATCAATGGTTGGGAGAACTTAATACTCTGAAGAAGGTAAACCATTAGAATGTTGATGTGTGTGTGTGTGACGGTGGTGTTTGTCTGTTTAAAAGTTTATGTTTGTCCCCTGAAATTCTCTCTCTATATATCTTGATCTAGGTCTAGTATTGAACACAAGGGATGATAAATCTTACATCTGGTGTATGTTGACACCTCTGAACGCAAGAACTCCTTCAAAACTGGGGGGAATTATTTTTAAACGGGCATAACAACCAGTTACAAAGCCTTGATGATTAACACTAAACACGTACAGGGGAGTATTTTTAAAAAATTCAGTATTTTAAAGAGAAATATGATCTCACGACACCCTTTTTAGAATATTTGTTCAATATTTTTGAATGTAATATAAGCCCCTGTCCATGCATGTGGGACGGTGTGTTGATATTTTATTTGGCTCTAAAAGTTTCCAATTACGATAGTAAACAGGGGTTTATATGTAGTTTATCAATTTAGTTATTAAACTTGGATTTTATTGATCTAGGCGCAATATGTAATAGAATACATGTTTTATTTTAATCGCCCTGCTCCGGCATTAATTAAGATGGATGCATACTTAGGGTTTTATTTTTTATCTATCTTCTGTCTATCTATCTGTTTGTCTCTATCTATCTTTTATCTATTTTATCCATCTGGCTGTCTATTTATCTTTTATCTATCTATCAGTCTATCTATCTTTAATCTATTTTATCTATCTGGCTGTCTATTTATCATTTATTTATCTGTCTGTCTATCTATCTTTTATCTTTCTTTCTGTCTATCTGTTTTTTATCTAACTGTCTGTCAATCTATCTTTTATCTATCTGTCTGTCAATCTTCTATCTGTCTGTTTGTTTATCTATCTTTTATCTATCTGTCTATCTATCTATTTTTTCATCTAACTGTCTGTCTATTTATCTTTTATCTATCTGTCTGTCTATTTACCTTTTATCTATCTGTCTGTCTGTTTGTCTGTCTGTCTGTCTTTCTGTTTTTATCTAACTGTCTGTCTATCTATCTTTTATCTATCTGTCTGTCTATTTACCTGTTATCTATCTGTCTGTCTGTTTGTCTGTCTGTCTGTCTTTCTATTTTTATCTAACTGTCTTTCTATCTATATTTTATCTATCTGTCTGTCTATCTATCTTTTATCTATCTGTCTGTCTATCTATCTTTTATGTGTTTGTTTATCTTTTATCTATTTTTCCGTCTATCTGTCTTTTAATTTTTTGTATTTATATCTACCTATCTATTTTGCTGTTTATCTGTATTTATATTTGTTCAGATCTACCCATTTGTCAATTTGTCTTTATTCTCAATTTCCCTATGTATAAGGAACTGTCAAATTTCCTTGTCTTTGACAGGGATACCCACAAACACTGAGAATGTAAAAACGACCTGAAACTCTAAAAATATGACGATTTGAAGTTGATTTTTGGTTTCTGCATTCAATAGAGTATTTTGATTGTTTACTGAATGATTAAGCAAAGAAATATGCCAGTTTTGGTCTGCAATGTGCCCTGAATGCAAGAAAACGGACTAAACAAATTTCGTACAATCGTCTTTGAAGTCTTATCCTTCGTGGGTCACCCTGTATGCATGTATATATGGTACTAATTATGTATCCGGCTCAATAGTTATTTAGAAGGAACAATCTATGTGTCCAAGTCCAGCTAATTGTCTATGCTTAAGAAACCTATCTTACTTGCTGTATGTTTATCTATCTATCTCTACAGTGATATCTATCTGTTTATTGCTATCTATGTATTGCTATCTATCCACGTATTTATATCTATCTATGTCTTACTATCTATCTATGTCTTACTATCTATCTGTGACTTACAACCTACCAATGTTCCACTATATATCTATGTTCTACTATCTATCTATTTCCCCTTTCTATGTATGTATGTATCTATGTCCCGCTTGTACTGATATCTATCTATGTTTTGCTATTTATGCAATATTAAACTATAAAATTCTTTCTATGTCTTGTATTAGTTCGAACTGTATCCACTAATCTCCCAGCAATGTCAAGTTCTTAAACTGTTTCTCATTTACAAAATTCCACACTTTTTACACCGCTTATCTTTCTCTATAGAATATGCAGGGCTTAGAGGGACCGTTAACTCAAAAAAATAATTATTTTTTAACCGTTAATTTAGTTTTGTTAAAGACACACAAAACAACATTTTCGCAACATTCAAACTTTTATCATAGTAATCTTTTCCATCGATTAATACTATTTTAGCAAAATATTTGAGTTTTGACATTTTGAATTTGCTTTTTTACATTTTTACAGTGTTTACAGTTAAATCCTTGAACAGTCCCATGAAGATGAAGGTTTCCTGTTCTCTTGTCGCAGTGTATCGTATCTCCAGTATGAATATTCAGCTAGAGTCTGGTGTAGACACCATCTCATATCTTCTATCTCCAGTTCTATCAAAACCTGCATAATTAGATGATACACTGCCTATCTTTCTATCTTTCCATCAATGCATAAATGGGCCGGAGCATGAAAAATTCAAAAATGATTTTAAAAAACTGTAAAATTTTAATATTAAAGCTTTTTTGGAACTTTTTAATCCTTGTTTTTTTCAGGGTTTGGATACAGGTTCTAGTGGAGAGACGAACTCCTCCTCTCCCCCCCGTATCCCGGAGATGACCCTGAAAGAGAAGAAGAAACAATACAGATGCTCCCTAATCAACCTTGATACGTCCCAGGGAATTATTAAATATTGTTCAACCCCGTCTCAGCACTTGATTAAAACAAGAATATATATATATATATATATATATATTATATGTATATTGTTGATTTCTATAGACCCCGTCTCAACACTTGATTAAAGGAAATAGGAAATGTTTATTTAAATTTACAAAAAAAATCAATTTCAAAAGAAAAACAGATTTAGTTGGAATATGTAATAATTTCTTCAAATATTTCACCGAGTCAGGTTTAAATTATTTCTAAACATCTTTGTTTTTATTTTCATTCATGTTATTTATACTCTTTGCAGTGTATTCATTCATGAACTGTTTATGCACATGCAGAATATATAAATATTGGCGAACAATTTTTACACCGCATAATTAGGTTTTATGATTAAATTTTTGATAAATGTTGAGACAAGGGGTTTGAATATTTAATAATGGATTCAGGACGATGAACTCGACGCAATTCTTGGTGAGCTTACCGTTCTAGAATCACAATTTGATCAAGAAATTGTGGCGGACAAACGGCGCAGTGTAGAGGAGGCTCGGCGGAGGAAAGATGATGAAGGAAGTCCAGTTTCTCCGGCGGAATCCGACCGATCTAGCAGTAATATCACAGATCTTGGAATACACAGCAACTCACATTCAAGATCCAGCTCCGGCTCCGATGAAATAAAGCAGGCACAACTTCGTAAACCCGAAGGAGGCGGAAGGACGGAGAGTCCTGATACAGATTCAGCGTTCTGCGACAATATGTCCATCCTGTCCAGTTGCAGTGCAGCTAGCAGTAACAGAACAGGACAATCCGTTGGAGTACCCAGCTCTGTACACCAGCTCAGCAAAGAGGAGCAGGAGGCTAAGATCAAAGCGGAGAAGATCAAGATTGCAATTGAGAAGATAAAGGAAGCATCTGTAAAAAAGCTGTTTATCAAGGTGTTTACTAGTGATGGTTCAGCTAAGAGTCTCCTGGTGGATGAGAAGATGAGTGTGGCTCAGGTGACCAGGATATTAGCTGAAAAGAACCATGTGTCTCTGGATCCTAAGTGGGCCCTGGTTGAGTTGGTTCCTGACCTATACATGGAGCGGGTGTATGAGGATAATGAGTATCTGGTTGAGAACTGTCTCCTATGGAAGGTTGACTCCAAGAACACTCTCTGGTTTATAGAACGTCCTGAGAAGTTTGACTTATTTCTCCGTCCAGAGGTTTATCTTCTGGAAACCTCGTCCTCCCAACGGGATGATCAGATGGAGGAGCACTCCAGACAAGAACTTCTTGAAGAATATTTCTCCTGTAGTGGAGTCGGAGCTCCTGAAGTAGAGGGAAATATCTGGCTTAAGGCCGACAGTAAAAAATCCTGGAAAAAGTTCTATTTTGTTCTACGCACATCAGGACTATACTATTCCCCCAAAGGAAAGAAAACGTCAAAGGATCTAGTCTGTCTTACAACATTTGACGTAAATCAAGTTTATTACGGAGTAGGATGGAAAAATAAATACAAGGCTCCGTCAGAATTCTGTTTTGGAATAAAGCATCCTCAGATTCAGGCTAAAAATCCTAAATACATAAAATACCTGTGTGTAGATACACAGAGAGAGCTGCATCAATGGGTGACAGGGATACGGATAGCAAAGAATGGGAAGAGTTTGTTTGACAATTATCGAGGTATTGTGGAGGAGATTACACATGCTGATATAGACATACTCACATCCAAGCGTTTTTCTGTGAATTCCACGAACGGTTTGCAAATTCCGCAAAATTCCGGGGACAAGAACGGAGGGGAGGGAATACAGAGTCCAGCTAGAACTCCTAGTTCGGAGAACAAAAGTTTAGCAAGTGCTCTCTCTAGTGGAATAGAATCGGATATGTCTAGCACTAGTTACAAGAATGGACAGAACGCACTCCTGGACGGACTAAATCAAATAGTAGAGGATACTCACACGGAGCCTTTGGATCGAGTATCCGGGCTCACCCCTGTTGGCACCCTGGAGAGAAGTTTTAAGCTCCGACGATCCTTCTCCCGTTCCTCCAGGTCCTCCTCCAGTAGTGGGTGTCTCAGTGATAAGTCTGGTGCGGAGTTAGGGTTCGAAAGTGATTTTCCTCTCGGAGGAACAATAAAGAAACGTCCTGCAGCAACTCCTCGTCTTCCGCTGACGACGACGACATGGGGTCTAGTCCGGGAGTCGGACCAGGACGAAGATGAGGGAGACGGAGGAGGTGTAGTAGGACTAGGAGCAGGAGGAACCCTGCTACGGAAAGCTGTGAGGAACAGTTTATCCAGGAAACCTCAAGAACATGACAAGGAAATTGAATCGTGCAGGGTTGACGGAGAGAGCGTTCCTCCCAACAGACAAACAGAGATATCTACTGACAACTATAGAGAAGATCCTCTTAGTTCAGCCTTTGAAAGAAGCATATCTAGCATGTCAGAAGAGGAAAACCTCCCCCTTCCTCCCCCACCCAGGATGGATAGTATGACTAGTTTAAACGACATAGATCAGCTCCCCCCTCCTCCCCCAGATATGTGCTATGAACCAAACAAATCCTTTAGCTCGAACCACTATCATGTTTCTCCAGTGACTAGCCCAACTGTACACTCACGAAGTTTGGTTACACAGTTGAGTTTCTCTCCTAATCCCGTAAATGGATTGCCTCCTTCAGGACCTGGTAATAAACTCCCCACGTCTCCTAAACCTGCAGGATCGTCACTAGCCGGTAAAAAACCTGTAGTGCCACATAAATCTAGTCGAAGAATATCATTTGATGATAATGTTCAGATGATAGAAGCCCCATCATCAACCCCGGTTAAATACAATCCTCACTTTTCTCCTGGACCTCCTTGTGAACCATTTAATCAACCTTACTCCGAAGCATTCAGATCAGAAACTCCAGACAGATTTCACTCACAAGGAGGGGTTTCTCCTGCTCCTTATCCTAAACCCGCAGCTAAATTTACTCCAACCCCACCAATTCGCAACTCTCCAGGTAGATTAACCTTTTCCTCTGAGGAGAGTCCAAACACGGATAGTCTACCCAGAGCCTTTCTGAAAGATCTTCAGAAAGTAATGAATAAGAAGTGGCAGGTTGCGGAGAAATGCAGGACGGAGAAAAATACAACTCCTCATGAGGTTTTAGGTTTTAGAGATGAACCAATCCAACAGATTGGACAACCAGGCCTTTACAGTCAAAACAGTGCCATAGGAGCCTGGGTTCTCAACTCCCAACAGTTTACAGACGACGATATTCAAGGTGAAGAACATTCATACTCACATTATCAGCAGTACAACCACTACCAGCCACACCCTATCCCACATCATCATCATCATCACCATCATCATCCCCAGTTTCAGCCCGGACAGGTGTACTCTGAGAGCTGCTATCCAAATAATGATGATTATGGTCACGTATCCCGACCCATTGACCATTTCTCTGATCCTAATCAGTTAAGAGAAGGGAGTAGACCTGTCGTTCTCATTGAACCGGAACCAAACTATGTAGATCCAGGGCACATGCGCGCAAACAAGGTTAAACGCCCGCCACCACCGCCGCGGCGGAGTGAAAATACGCAATTAACCGCTGGATCTTTCTGAGAAAAATTAAAGTATTTACTCAATTCTCAATTATAATGTATAGACTTGAAATTGTTCCGACGGAAACCTCCTGAAACGAATATCTGATATTCTGAAACCAGATGAGATGATGTGCTAGGTGAAATATATTAAAACACACTCACGCTAAATAATATAATAATAAACCTAAATTTAATCAGCTTTGGATCAAATTATTATTATTTAGCTTTTACATATTATTTTTTGTGGCAAATTTGTGATAAGTTGTACCTGGTATATTGCCGTTATATAGATACTAATTAGTATTATTATTATTATTATTATTATCATTATTATTATTATTATCATAATTATAATTGATTCTTGAAATTTTCAAATTTAATAAATCTGATTGTTAATAAATTTTAAGATGTCATGTTTTTTAGATTCAAGTTTCCCCAGCAGGAATTTACCAATATATGTAATGACCATTTAAAGAAAGTAGGAATAAGTAATGATAGGAAGCTAGGAATAGGTGGATATGAATAGTAGGATAGGAGTAGGAAGCTAGGAATAGGAGGAGAGGAATAGGAAGCTTATAATAAAATCAAGTACGTAGTAGGAATAAGAGAAGTATAGGAATATCGCAATGAAACAAGCATACGTGCTTTACAGAGTAGGAATAAGAGAAGTATAGGAATAGGAGAAGTATAGGAATATCGCAATGAAACAAGTATATACGTGCATGACAGAGTAGGAATAAGAGAAGTATAGGAAGATAGCAATGAAACAAGTAAACGTGCATGACAGAGTACGAATAAGAGAAGTATAGGAAGATAGCAATGAAACAAGTAAACGTGCTTGACAGAGTAGGAATAAGAGAAGTATAGGAATATCGCAATGAAACAAGTAGACGTGCTTGACAGAGTAGGAATAAGAGAAGTATAGGAAGATAGCAATGAAACAAGTATACGTGCTTGACAGAGTAGTAATAAGAGAAGTATAGGAAGATAGCAATGAAACAAGTATACGTGCATGACAGAGTAGGTATAAAAGAAGTATAGGAAGATAGCAATGAAACAAGTATATACGTGCTTGAAAGAGTAGGTATAAGGGAAGTGTAGGAAGATAGCAATGAAACAAGTATACGTGCATGACAGAGTAGGTATAAGAGAAGTGTAGGAAGATAGCAATGAAACAAGTATACGTGCATGACAGAGGAAGCAGGACGTATAGGATGGAAAGGAATTAAAACAAGGAAGTGGCAGTAAGAGATGGAAAGGAATTAAAGCAAGGAAGTGGATTGGGTGAAAGTGATGAACTAAAGCATGAGGGAGGAACGGATAGGATGGAAAGGAATTAAAGCAAGGATGTGGTTGAAAGAGATGAATGAAAGAAAGAGGGAGGGATGGATAGGATGGAAAGGAATTAAAACAAGGAAGTGGGTGAAAGAGATGAATTAAAGGAAGAGCGAGGGATGGATAGGATGAAAAGGAATGGATAGGAAGGAAGGAAGTGTATGAAATAGATGAATAATAGAAGAACGAAAAGGATGGATAGGAATCAAAACAATGGCACGGTTGAAACATTAAAGAATGTTAAATATTTCCGAGATATCCTTGGTAAATCTATATATGGTCTTGAAACAGTTAGATCTCCAGGTTCTCTTGATAAATCGTCCATGTTTAAAGTGAAGGTGCACTGTGTACACTTTACAAGTTCCTTGTACAAATTCAATCAATCATTTACAGTCAAGTCTTTGGAGTTAATTGAGAGTTGGGAGTGGGACAACTTTGGAGTTGGGAGTGGGACAACTTTGGAATTGGAAGTGGGACAACTTTGGAGTTGGGAGTGGGGCTGCTTTGGAGTTGGGAGTGGGACAACTTTTGAGTTAGGAGTGGGACAACTTTTGAGTTGGGAGTGGGACAACTTTGAAGTTAGGAGTGGGACAACTTTTGAGTTGGGAGTGGGACAACTTTGAAGTTGGAAGTGGGACAGCTTTTGAGTTGGGAGTGGGACAACTTTGGAGTTGGGAGTGGGACAACTTTGGAGATGGGAGTGGGACAACTTTGAAGTTGGGAGTGGGACAACTTTTGAGTTGGGAGTGGGACAACTTTGGAGTTGGGAGTGGGACAACTTTGAAGTTGGGAGTGGGACAACTTTGGAGTTGGGAGTGGCACAACTTTTGAGCTGGACTCAGATTTGATATACAGTTATAAATACCGGAATAATGATTGCCTTCGTTCTTACTTTGAATCAAATCAAAAATGTAATTTGTAACTAATAAATTTTTAAATATTTTATAATCAGAAGAGACAATGTTAATAATTTTTTCCTTTTTTTAGTTTGACGAATGAAAGCAAAAATGTTAAATTTCTTTTTGAAGACAGGGAACATTTTAAAACATATATACATAAACATGTGCCCATTTTTGTCCAGTTTTGCTGTATTATGAAAATTAGCGTTCCTACTTAAGTTCCGTTATGTTTTGCTAAATGAAGACGACCATAATTCCGATTTTACTCCGCAAGTATTTTGTAATTAACGTAAGTTGCTTTTAAAAATTTGTTTAATACGTACTCAAGAGTTATTGAAATAAAATTCAGGGGTTGAGATATTTTAGTTTTGTTAGTTGTCAGAAAGGAAACGTTGAGATGTATTTTGAATGTCGTCTTGGACAAAGTAAAAATAAAAAAATTTAATTCTTTAAAAGTGTTTTAAGTATGCTCCCAATTTCATTAAAGAAGGGGGGGGGGTAAATTATGTGAACCAAAAGGAAATAGAAGGGAAAGAAAAAAGATAACCAATGTTTAATCGCTATTTGTTTACTATTCGGCAAATTCTATAAAATGGAACAGAACATTTTCCCCGCATTTTTCGCGTTTTTTTTTGGAAAAATATAGATATTCCTGTTTGGGCCTGTATTATTTTGGGTAATATCCTTCCAGAGTTTTTTGATGAATTATTTTTTTGTTGATTTTTTCCTTCTTTTATTTCTCGCCATTTTCCCCTTAGAAATTGAATTTGAGGTCCTATCTTCATTTTTGATTTTTTTCTGTTCAAACTTCGGATTCAGATCATAATTGTGATTAAGTGTCTGAACTGAAAATAAAAATGTGCCAAAATGAATTTCCAGGATTTTTTATTTTTTTTTCATCGATTTCTTAGATTTAAACACTTAAAGGGAGTGTTCGTGAAAAATTAAAGGGGGTATAGGCTTGCGGCGAAAAATAAGCGCTTTTGATTGCTACTAATATAACTTCTATCTGTTGCGTCTATAAGAAGAAAATTGTTAAAAACAACTCATACCGAAGAACGTAGTGTCCATACAAATTCAGAAAGATGCAACATTCAACTCGGATCGTAAACAAATCAATTTAATTCCAAACAAATCATTCAGATATTACATTATTCCTCGATTATTTTTCAACGCATTCGTAAATAGTTGATATTTCAAAATATTTTGTATTTTTCATGATCTGAGATCTATTTTTGAAATTATTTATTCCTGTTTCGAGGATTTTTGAAGACGACATATTTTCCAGGAATGTTCGTAATTAAATTGTCTTTTACATCATACATAAAGCTCTTTGCCTTTTATTTCAAACGTATTTTTAAAACTTTTAAATGTTGATTTTAAAATTTTTCCAAGTAGATTCTATGTAAGACGACATTAAAGGATATCTTAAACCTGAACCTGTCATGGGAGGGGTTAGGGAGTTATTATATTTCCATTTCACTTTAAGAGAAAAATATCATAATTATTTTCTTTAACAATTTATTATTTTGAATTTTTAATCTTAAATTCTGATTTGATTCTTCTTCTTGTCATCGTTTCTCTCCTTCTTCCTTTTTTCCCTTGTGTTGACTGTCCCTGATTCTGATAATTTGTTGAAACAAGTATTTCTTGGGACACTCTGCTTAATTGTTATTGTATGTTGTGTTCGATTTAGCAGACTCATTTTCTGCTTTAGTTGTTAGTTTTCAGTTTTATTGCCTAACCAGGAATGCCTGACCGGACAAGATGATCAGACTTGAAGGGTAAGACTGGGGGGTACTTGAGGGGCCACATAGAAAATATTCCATGGTGATCGCTACTAATTTTACTTCTACCTGTTGCGTCTATAAGGAGAAAATTGTTAAGAACAACTCATACAAAAGAACGTATCGTCCGGCATATACATTCTGAAAGTTGTGATATTAGACTTGGATCGTAAAAAGATCAATTTATTTCCAAACAAATCGTTTAGATATTACAACCAATAATCATCAATTTTTTTCGACACATTCGTGTATCATAGTTGATATTTCAACATATATTTATAATTTTTATGATCCGAGAGTTATATACTTTTGAAAACATTCATTTCTGTTTCGAGGATTTTTGATAATGAAGACGATATTTTCATATTTTCAAGGAATGTTCGAAAATCCAGTGCCAGTCGTGAAAACAAGTTGAAAGCGAAATATTAATTTAAACAAAAAATAAGAAAAAGTATGAAATATCAACTATTTACGATCGCGTTGAAAAAAATCGATGATGTGCGAGCAGTTAGTTTGTGTGTAATTGATGTTGAGCACAATCGATCATTTTTAAACTAGAAGTTCATTTTCTATAAAATAAATGTTCATTATATTATTACAAAAGTGCAGAGATACCCAGAAAGGATAAAAAATCTGTCAGCGGTCTACTAATCAATTTTCCCAAAAAAGAAACAAGTTTACGTCTCCAGTGGCCGAATTTAAAGAATTTGAGCGGCGGTTTAAATTTAAGCCGCGGCTTAAATATGGTTGGTTTCACTTAAATTTGTATCAAATGTTTAAATATTTAAGCCGGCGCTTAATTTAAACCGGGTTTTGGCGGATTTAAACCGCGGCTCAAATTCCATCTAAGGACCCATTAAATTGTAAAAGTGATTAAATAATATCCTCCTAGTCGTCTCTAAAATATTATTTATTTTCCCTTTAACAAATTTTTATGGTTTTAAAGTGTTTAACGCCTCCACCTCCAATAACTAAAACCAACAAGAAAGGATTCATTTAAAGAAAATTCAACACTTTCATATCAAAATATTTTTACAGACAAATTTTCCCAAGATTCTATTTCTTAGTTTATCTAAGAGTTTTCTTCTAAAATATAATCTTTGAATAGATACAAATTATACTTAGCACTTTA